CGGCAAGCTGGTGAATCTAGGGTGATCTGACTGTTCGGTAGGCCGTAGTATAAAAGAAAAATACTATTTCAATTTATAACCCACGATCGTATATAGCAAGCGAACAAGCTAGATATGCGTGCGTGTATGCAGAGCTTCTACTGGCCGTACTAGTTTCTGCAAACCACCAGTGTCCTGAGAAGAGTGCTGCGTGCATTCAAAATTTAACCAAATATATATAAACAAAAATATTAATGTTTATGACACCAAAAAAATATATTATGAAAATATATGTTATGATAAATCTAATAATACTTAATTGATGTCATGGCTATTTATATTGTTTAATGTATAATTGGTCAAGCTTGACATACTAAATATGACACTGTGCTAGAATTACAATCTGTCTACGATGGAGGGAGTATTATAAATTGAATTTTTAACCTTGTTTATTTTAAAGGTAAAGTATTATTTTCAATAATTGGTCTGTTTTTAGTTTTAAACTACAAAAATAGGTAACGGACTCCCCCAACTATCAAAGCCGGACAAAATTGGTTCCCTTGCTGGTTTCAAAATGTGAGATCTATTTTAGCATGGAGAGAGTATCTCGTACGTTTCTAAAAATATTTGAAGTCTTTGACATAGTTGCCCCTGCTGTTGGGGACGCTCTAGGCGTGCTGTGCCTGTGAGTAGTTGCAGTAGAGAAAGGAATCCACGGACCACGGTCGTCGACGGTTGGTAGATGGGGAAATGCGTATGCATTGCATGGGTGATGGCTGAAAACCGTGAAACTGGGGGAGAGAGAGTTTGAGAGAGACGGCTACACTGGCACGGCATGTGCACGTGTACAAGGACCATCAACGTCATGTTTACTTGGCTTATAAGCTATATTTTTTATCTAATGAATAGTATTTTTCTCTCACAACAAATCAGTTAACAGTATTTTCAGTCATGACTTATTAGCAAACGAACAGAGGACGTCAAGTAGATCCACAAATGCTGCCAAAAAAGATCACAGTAGCCAGTAGACGCAGTAAAACCGTAGCATGCTAGTTGGATGAAGATGTTTACAGTTGTCCTCTTATAGATTTTTAGACTTTTGGGCACTTTGAAATGCAGCGGTTTCATAAAACTCGTATATCGGTATATGAATTTCACAAGAATAAATTTATGTTTATAGGACAAACATATAGGGGGGATGAGACGTTTGTGCTAGTCGAACTTATCAAAGCCAAGGCTGGAGAGACCAAGCACCTGCCGCCCAAAAAAAAGAGCAACCAACCCTTAAACTAGGGCTGCGCACGACTCAATACTACTAGTCGCTTCTCCCTTTTCTTTTATACATGATAGTGAATGAAGAATCATACTTTGACCTATTGAATTTTTATGACTTGCTCAATCATACTTCTCCGTCCCATATTAAAGGATGTTTTAGAATAACTCATGAAAATCAACGTTCCAATAGACTAAAATACCCCTCACGGAATAGAGATAGAGATCCATGGTAAAAGAGAATGTACATTAGAAAAAGAGAGGGTCAAGTATTTTGAGACAAAATTTAAATACAATAGAATCATCTGTTTCAGGGGTGGAGGGAGTACGTACCAACGATGCTGAGAAATTTAAGTATTTTATAGGATAAAATTTGAATGTCATAAGATCATCTATTTTGGATGCGGAGGGTGTACGCATCAATGCTGTTGAAGAATAATATGCACCATTATGTTTGACGAGGGATAGATACTACTCGCTCCGTTTAAAAAAAGTGCAATTCTCGCTTTCCGATAAGTCAATCAGTTTAAATTTTAACCAAAATTATATAAAAAAATACTAACATTCTTGATGCAAAATTAGTATCATTAGATTAGCCATAGAATATATTTTTATAATAAATTATTTGGAGACATAAATATTAATACTATTTTATACAAATTTGGTCATGAGCTATTTTGATTGGCATGGATCCTATAATTGTATTCTTTTCTGAACGGAGGTGTACCTTCGTATCTAAATAAACCGATTTTATATTTGTCTTAAGTTGAATATTTTTATGTGTAATTAAATTTATAGAAAAGAGCATAAATATTTATAGCACCAAATGATGATATTATGAAAATATATTATATATTATATCTAATCTAATGATGCTAATTTAATGATCTTAATGTTTTTCCTATAAGTTGAATTAACTTTAAAAGTATTTAGTTTATGATAACTCCAAAAACTGATTATACAGAGAAGAGGGAGCAAAAAAACAAAACAAAAGAAGAAAGTTTAAACGAGAGTTTGACGAGCTGTCCCTGTATTTTTTCCCGTCGGCACGAAACAAAGGATGGAAAAAGGACGGCAGAGACTGGGGATGGTCTTGTTTAGTTTCCCCTTAAAGCTAGCTCCTATCATATTGTATGTTTGAATACATGTATAGAGTAATTAATTGTACAGATTTAGACTAATTTGTGAGATAAATTTTTTAGTTTAATTAGTTCATGATTTGACAATGTGGTGCTACCGTAAACATACGCTAATGATGGATTAATTAGACTTAATAAATTCGTCTCGCGGATTGATGACGACTCCTGTAATTTGTTTTAGGGGGTATTTGATGTAATGACTAAAATTTAGAAGATATCGCATGAAGATGTCGTATAAGGTGTTCGGATACTAATAAACATCCCTTATTATTACTATCAGAAAACTTGACGTGACACCTCCACGTGATATTCAACGTAACATCCTAAACTTTTAGCACCTGGGCCTTGTTTAGATTGTAAGTTTTTTCACTCTTTCTTCATCACATCAAATCTTTGGACACATGTATGGAGTATTAAATATAGATAAAAAATAACTAATTACACAGTTTGATTATAAATTACGAGACGAATATTTTGAGCCTAGTTAAGCTATGATTAGACAATAATTATCAAATACAAATGAAAATGCTTTGAAGACTAAAGACCTGAATCCACCTCAATCTAAATAAGGGCCCCAGGTTTCAAGCATCCAGTGCCATGTTTAGATTGTAAAAAATTTCAACCCGATGAATAGTAGCACTTTCGTCTTATGTAGAAATATTGTCCAATCGTGGACCAACTACAATTAATTATTTTTTTTTACCTACATTTAATATTTTATGCAAACAAATTTAAAATTGACGTGATGAAGAAAAAGTGAAAAAACTTTTGAAATTTAGAGGTGATCTAAACAAGGCCCCAAAACGCGTCCAAAGCAAAACTGCAAAAGCAGACGCGGGCCCTGGACGGTCGGCCGGCGGGCTCCACTGAGGCCGCTCCCGCTCCTCTCCGGCTCTCCTCCCTCACCCTCAGCCTTCCTTCCCACCAGTCTCCCACTCTCCAGTCTTCACTCCACTGATGCCTGGTGCATAGCGGCGCGGCGCGGGGGCTGGCTGGTTGGTTCCAGACAACGCCGCTGGCTTAAACGCGCGAGGCCCGAGGAAGCTTTAGCTTGTTTCTTGCAGTTAATGCGGGAAGCAACTGCATTACCACCATCCCTCACCACCAGACCCAGCACTGACCTCCCGGCTCCGGCCCCGGCTGGCGGCAGCGCTCCGTTGAGGAGCACTGGAGCAGAGCAGAGCAGGTGCCAGTGCCACTAACACGGCCACGGCCACGGCATGAAGGGGCACCAGCACCAGTCGTCCTCTCCGCTGCTGCTGCCGCCGCCCAGCAAGCGCCGCTGCAGCGGGCTGGCGGCGGCCGTGCCGGCGCTCGTCGTCTGCTCCACGCTGCTCCCGCTCATCTACCTCCTCGTCCTCCACCGCCCTGCCGGTGCGTCCGCCCCTCGGATCTGTCGTCTCCCCCTCCCTTTTCTCGCTGATCTTCTAACCCTCCGCGTGTCGCGTTGCGTGCTCCGTGTTGTGTTGTTGCTCGCAGCAGGATATGGATCGGACGACCGCGCCGCCGTGGTCATCAGCAACGTAAGCTTCTCCACTCTCCCCGTGCAGAAATTTCTTATTTTTTTTTATTAATTACACCGTCCTCAAAGAAGTTTAGCAGAGTCCTAGCTTCTGAAATCCTCACGCCTTGGTTGTGCTTGGGGTTGCTAGGAGCTGGCCGGCGTCGGGGCGCGTGGCATGCGGCATCTGGAGAATGGGGCGCCATGAAGCACAAGCTGCTCAAGGTTACAATCCTGCCTGCTACACTGCTGACTGCTCAAGAGGCAGTGCAGTGGTGGAGCATTTTGTTTCTGTGTTTTATATGTCAGAGACAGTGATCAAGTTGAATTCTTTTTTTTTTTTTTTTGCCGGCCCGCATTCGGGGAGAAATTAATTAAGCTACTCGCCACCTCTGCTGATTTTAGTGCGTTCATGCGGCTCGCGTGCGTGTGCGCGTGTCGTGCGGACATCCGCCGCTGCGTGCGTGCTGCCGTGCTGTGACGCTTAACAACCTACCGCCTCTGTCTCCATTCTCAAGTTGCTTTCTTTAGAATAGGTGGAGGTGGCAACCCGAAATTGTTTCTCTCGTCACGCCTTGACATGCCCATGCCTCAGTTTGCTATTCTTGGAGTAGGTGGGTGGCAACCTAAAATTGTTTCTTTCATCATGCCTTGACATGCCATGCCTCTGATGAAATGTACACAAAACTGCTGTTGCTGGCAAGATGCCCTCTTGCTGTACCTTCCCAATTTGATTTGCCTTGTTATCTATTTTCTGTAATCACCTTTGTGTCAGTCCATAACTGAATTTGAAGAGTGGACACGAAATATTTATTTCTTACATATCCTCTGAGTTAGCAGTGATTCACTAAATATATATATTTTTTCAGTAGTAACTACTGAAATCAAAATAGATCAATTGGTTGTGTGCAGTGTGGCCCAATGCTGGTGATGAAACTTTGCTCAAATCTGCAAACTGCTGCACAACTATCTAGCTAGATGGATCGCTTTGCCACGTTGACGTTTCCTGGCTCACCTAAAACCATCATCAAGAGACTGCTGCACTGAAATGTCTGATGTTTTCTTTTCAATCTTGACTGACCTCCTCTCTTTTCTGACTGTGTATCCAGGATGTTTCCAAAAAGGTGTCTGGATCTAATGGGATTTCGGCTGAGAGATCTACTAGATCAAAATCTACCAAGGATCATGCTATCAAATCAAAAACAAAGTTCAAGGGTGCTTTCTCTTTAATTGAACTAAATAATGACACCTTCAAAAGTAAAGGTAAGCGTTAGGAGAGTACAAACAGCGTGAGATGTTGCTAGTATCCATCTTACTGTAGTCAGTCGTATTTCAGGACCCCGTGCACCCCCAAAGGTATCAATTGAAGGACTTGTCCTGGAGTTCAAAGGTAACTGCAACCTCTTATTTCCCTACATTTAGAATTCAGTAGTCTGCAGCTCTTCATTTTTCATATTTGAAAAAATAGCGAGTAGCCTCAAGGGCTTACCATGCACAAAATGGTGAGCTCAATTTGTTTTGCTTCTATTGACGTGACCATTTATCACTGGGGCTTCATAGTCAACAATTTTCATGAATATATACATTAAACACAAATGTGATGATAGGATTATTGTTGTCCATCAGTCTGGCATCAGTAATAATCCTGTATGTTGTTTCTGTGGGTTCAACTTTCAGTGAGATTTTACAAATAAAATTGATTGGCTACATTTTGCACATTCACATCTGCTAGTAAGATAGTTTTCTTTATAAGTACTTTAAATCAGGTAACAATATATATTGTGGTGCAATGCAATGTACAATTGTGTCCCTTAAACATACTGTATGTTTTTTCACCTTCTATAAGATTTACCCATTATCTAAAAAAAAGATTTATCCATTATTCCTTGGTGAAAAAAGTTACTGAAGAATTTTTTATCTACTCTATGCTTTTTTTAGGTCCTGCGAGATGTACAAGGTCATAGTACCACTCAGACATCTAAGGACGATATGATCAAGTATTCCTTAGTGGTGACATTAGTGTCGCATATAATGTTTTACAATATTATCAGTTAGACATAACCATACATGTATTTGCAATTAGTTCTTTAGAAAACCTCTTGTTGTGAAGGCCGAGTGTAATTAGTTCACATATTACCACAGCGGTTTTCGGGTTGTTGGTGCAGGATATGACTCATGTGCTCTTATGAGGATCTGTGCTTTAAGAACAGGGCTGCCAATTTTGTTTTTACTAGTGAATCCTTCAGAATCCTTTTTTTTTTTTTTTACTTTTCTACCACAGGGAACTTAATTGGTTTTGTGACAGGATACAACTGTTGATGCGAAAGAGAACCATGGTCAAGAGACGGTGCATGAGGACAATATCAAGTCCTGTGAACATGAATATGGAAGTTACTGCCTCTGGTCTACTGAACATAGGGAAGTAATGAAGGATACCATTGTCAAGAGGCTTAAGGATCAACTTTTTATAGCAAGAGCTCATTATCCTAGTGTTGCAAAATTGAAGCAACAGGAAAGATTTACACGTGAACTGAAGCAAAACATCCAAGAGCATGAACGCATGCTGAGTGACACCATCACAGATGCCGATCTTCCACCATTGTTAGTCTCACCTTAGCTTTAAAATCATATGTGTTTCTTTATTTTTCATATAACCTTTTGCACTAAATAAATGAATTATATGTGGCCAGTGCAATCCATTAACATGACTTTGCTTCTTGTCTTAGTTCTGTGTCTGCATTTCTTCAAGAAATAAAGGATGAGCATACACAATTATGATGCTTGTGACTTAATTTCGATAAAATGATGCACTGCAATGTCTTTTTTTATTTCTCAAAATATTTCTGGTGGCAATGACTGGTTACTCTTTTCAGTTTTGCAAAGAAGCTGGAGAAGATGGAGCACACTATTGAGAGAGCCAAGTCTTGTGATGTAGGATGCTCGAATGTTGAACGGAAACTTAGGCAGCTACTTGATATAACTGAAGATGAAGCTTATTTCCATACAAGGCAGAGTGCATTTCTATATCATCTTGGGGTCCAGACTACGCCGAAAACTCACCATTGCTTGAACATGAGATTGACAGTAGAATATTTCAAATCCAGATCAAGTCATATGGATCAGTTAAATGAGCAGGAGCTTGAAAGTCCTACCTTCCATCACTATGTAATATTTTCCAGGAACATACTTGCAGCTTCCACCACTATCAATTCAGCAGTTATGAACTCCCAGGTATACCATTATTTTCAAATAGTCTAAACTATTGTGTGGAATTCATCTTGATCACTAACTTATGCCCAATAACACATTTCAGAACTCAGACCACATTGTTTTCCATTTGTTCACTGATGCGCAAAACTTTTATGCGATGAAGCATTGGTTTGATAGAAATTCATACTTGGAGGCAACTGTTCATGTAACTAACATTGAGGACAACCAGAAGCTCTCTAAGGATATACATTCCCTTGAGATGCAACAGTTATGGCCCGCAGAGGAATTTCGTGTCACAATTCGTAATCATTCTGATCCTTCCCAGAGGCAGATGAAAACTGAGTACATATCTATTTTCGGCCATTCACATTTCCTCTTGCCCGACCTTCTTCCTAGCTTGAATAGAGTAGTTGTTCTGGATGATGATTTGATTGTCCAGAAAGACTTATCATCTCTGTGGAACCTCGATATGGGTGGTAAAGTGGTCGGTGCTGCCCAGTTCTGTGAAGTGAGATTAGTCCAGTTGAAACCTTATAAGGCAGACCATAATGTCAATGCTAATTCATGTGTGTGGTTGTCTGGCTTGAATGTCATTGAATTGGATAAATGGAGGGACATGAGCATTGCTAGTTTGTATGAAAAGGTCAGTAGAACTCAGCATTCACATTAAATTATCAATTGTTATCTTATGAAAATTTGTGGTTAGGTCACGGGTTCGAAGCAGCCTCTCCACATAATTTGCGGGGGGAAGGCTTGCCTCGGTTTTTCCCTTCCCCAGACCCCACTCATGTGGGAGCCTCAGGCACTGGGTCTGCCCTTTTTTTACATGTGGTAGCTCTAGTCCTATCCTTTTGCCATTCTCATATGTCTAGAAAGCAGCTGCCATATCATATATTAACTTTGCTTTTTTTGCAGTTGCGAAAGGACAGCCTGAAATCACAGCGACTGCAAGCACTCCCTGCAAGTTTACTTGCCTTTCAAGATCTGGTATATCCTTTGGAAGATTCATGGGTTCAATCAGGCCTTGGACATGATTATGGAATTAGTCACGTCGATATAGAAAAGGCTGCTACTCTGCACTATAATGGTGTGATGAAACCTTGGCTTGACTTGGGGATACATGATTATAAGAGCTACTGGAGGAAGTACATGACTAATGGAGAGAAGTTCTTGACAGAATGCAATATTCACTGATTAATATAGGACATGAAATGCACCAACACTCATTTTTGAGCATTTGGACCACAGACTTCAAGGGCTTTGCTTAAATGATGAGGTTATCATGAAGATAAACAGAATCGCTCCTGGCCTGCAGTATCTATGATGACTCAAATACACCTCTGACGCGGTGGTGCTCAATCAAATACCAAAAGGAGAATAGGATGAAATGCTTTCTGCATAAACTGCCAATGTTGCCATAACAGCATCTACGTTGTTTGACGGACGCCAGCATGAGACCTGAGTTATGTTGCAGAATACCAAGATATAATGTAGATTATTTCACACTGTTTGTTACGGTTTGATGAATTTTTTCCATATGCAGCTGGGCATTGCAAAAGTGCAGTTCCTTGCTGCTCATTTTTAGTATAAAATCTTTGGTGCTATTCTTTTTGCTCATTATGCAAGAGCAATACTGAGGGAGTCCAATGTTAACTGCAGCACAGCATGTACAGGGAACACCAAATGATGCGTGAATTAGCAAGTATTTTTCTTGTGATTCTTTGCAGCAAGGCTTGCATTTGTTATTGTTAGATGTTGATATCCCATTGACGACATAACAAATGGTTGTCTGTTCTGCTCAATGGCATTCTTTGGCTTTATAGGATCTTTTTGTTTTTTTAGGAAAAGTATAGGATGTTTTTGTAGTGCAAATCTCAGAAGGAATGAGAATTCAGATAGTTGTGTAGCATAATTTGGATGTCGATCCTGCGACCAAGCACAGCAAATGAAAAAAGAAAGAAGGAACTGTATTCTTTGATATTTGCATACTTGCATTGTTATGACGGGCATCTCCTATCAGCGCCGGCCCAGGCCCAGTGGCTAGGCCACACCGGCGGCAAGGGGCCCAGGCGCTCGTAGATATGCCATCTATAGTTATTTTTGTTATTTCCATAATTATAGGATTTGAGATTGATTTGCTCGTAGGTTTGAGGGGATAAATACCCCTTGAGCCTTTGAGAATTAATTAAGCAAGGCAAAAGTATTTGCCTGGCCTCAAGGGCCATTACGTGACTCTCTCCAGCCTCCATGCCCTATCTCTCGCGTGAGCCCTAGGGCAAAAAGCAGCAGCGCCGCCGCCGCCGTCGCTCGCCTCCACCACGGCTCCTGCTCACCGTGTCCCTCGTCCTCATCCCCCAATCTCCTATCCCTACGCTCTTCGCAACCGCGGTAGGATCAAGGATCCTATCAATCTGGTGTCGGAGATGTCAGGTTCCGATGCTACCGCTGCGGTGGACGCCAAGACCACCGCCCAGTCGATCCAGCTGGTCGTGCTGCCGGCGACGCAGGGGGCGCTGCCTCCCGCACCAGCGCTGCCTCCGGGAGATCGCCCAGCAGCTGGCCAACCTCAACGCTGGGCAGGCGCACCTCTCCGCACAGTAGGCGTCCATGCAATCTCGCCTGGCCACCATGGAGAGCCACCGGGCGTCTTGATCTGCGGGCACCCTGCCCTCGAGCTTTCCCTACGGGATGCCGGGGTATGGCACGTCGGCGCTGTCAACCTACTCCACCACCACCGCCATACCCACCACCGTCGCCGCTGCCGCTGCCTTTTCCGCTGCCACTCCGCGTACCATGATGTCCACTGCCCCAACCCATCCTCCGGGGTTCCCATCCACCTTCTTAAGTTTCCACCCTCGCCATCCCCGCTGCCCAATTTTTTAGAGACACCCACGCCGACGTTTCTGTACTACACCGCCCCGGTGCCGCCACCTGCGCCCAGGCCTTCTGTCGGACTGGGCATTTCGCGCTTCAGCAAGATGGCATGGAGGACCCCCTGAATGGGCTCACCCACTGTGAGCAATTCTTTAGGGGGCAGCGCACGCTCGCTTTGGATCACGTCTGGCTTGTGTCATACCACCTTCGCGGTGCCGCCCAAACGTGGTACTACGCCCTAGAACAGGATGAGGGCGTGCCTACTTGGGAGCGCTTCAAGGACCTGTGTCATCTCCGCTTCGGGCAACTGGTCCGTTGCAACTGCCTCTCCGAGCTGGCATGGTTGCCCTTCCACCATACGGTGGAGGCCTACTAGGAGCGTTTCAACGCCCTGGTCTGCCACAATGCCAACTTGGAGGCGCGCCAGAAGGCAGACTTGTTCATGGGGGGCCTCCTGGAGCACATCCGCGTCGATGTCGAACTTTGGGAGCCCCAGGACTTACAGATGGCGATGCACTTGGCTCATGCATATGAGCGCCGTGTCGTGGCCATCTAGCAGGCTTCAGTGCAGCACCCCGCATGGCCCCAGCGCCAGTAGTTGGCGCTGCCCACTCCACTCGTGCGTGTCTCAGTCCCAGCCGCCACTGGCGCGCTGGAGCAAGGCCCAATTAGCGACAACGAATAGAATAAATGGCTCCAAAGACAGATCGCACCACAATGGCCGTTCCACCGCTGGCGCTGTCAAGATGCTAGAACACCACCGTCAGGGGCTGTGTTTCAACTATGATGAGCCATATGTGCGGGGCCATCAGTGCCAGCGCCTATTCTTCCTCGAGGCCACCGACTTCCTGGTTGACAACCCCGCCACCGATGTGGCTGCCGAGGCAGCTATCGAGGCGGCTCTGGGGGAGGAGCAGCTCATCGCCCCGGTCGTCTCCCTCTACGCCATCGGTGGCATCCGTATGGAGGAGATAATGCACCTCCACGTCTACACCCATGACCACAAGCTCCTTGCCCTACTCGACAGCGGCTCGACCCACAACTTCATCAACGCTGGCGTCATGTGCCGCATCGGGCTAACGATAGGTGACAGTAACATGCGGGTCACGATGTGCCAACGACGATCGCATAGCCTCGCTCTAGCGTGGCTCGCAGCGTGGCCATGCGCATCGGCAAGGAGGATTTTTCTATCAGCTGCTTCGGCATTGACCTCGTCCTTGGCGTTAACTATCTCCGCACCCTCGAACCCCTTCTGTGGGACTTCGAGGACCTGTGATTGTCCTTTAGACGAGGCAATCGGCGTGTCCTCTGGAAAGGCATGGGCTCCCCCCGTAATGACATCCGGGAACCAACCCTCCGCACGATGATGGGCGGCCACCATGTAACCCTTCTTCGCCGGATCAGCTCCTGCACCAGTATGGGGCTATCTTCGATGAGCCCCGTGGGCTCCCTCCGGTGCGCCCATACGACCATTAGATCCACTTATTGCTAGGCACGCCGCCAGTGACTGTCTGCCCGTACAGCTACCCATAGCTTCAGAAGGATGAACTCGAGCGGTAGTGCGCCGCCATGTTGGAGCAAGGCATCATTCACCCTAGTACCTCACCATTTTCGACGCCAATGCTACTCGTCAAGAAGGCTGATGGGTCTGGCGCTTCTACATCGACTACAGGGCGCTAAATGATAAGACGCCGAAGGACAAGTTCCTGATTTTGGTGGCTGATGAGCTCTTGGATGAGCTCCATGGTGCCAGGTTCTTCACCAAGCTGGACTTGCGGTCCGGCTATCACCAGGTCCGCATGCATCCGAGAGGACATTGAGAAGACAACGTTCAGACTCACCACGGGCACTTCGAGTTCCTTGTCATGCCTTTTGGTCTCTCAATACGCCACCACATTCCAGCGCCATGAATGATGTCCTCCGGCCCTTCCTCTGCAGGTTCATGCTTGTTTTCTTCGATGATATTTTGATCTATAGCTCGTCGTGGTTCGAGCACCTGCAGCACGTTCGCCTCGTCTTCGACGCCTTGCTTGCGCACAGCCTCTTCCTCAAGAGGTCAAAGTGCACCTTCGAGGCGCCCTCGGTCGCCTACCTCAGCCACGTCATCTCCGCCGATAGTGTCGCGATGGACAGCGACAAGGTGGATGCCGTCGCTTCTTGCCCGAAGCCCCGCTCACCTTGGGGCATGCGTGGCTTCCTAGGGTTGGCCGGCTACTACCAGAAATTCATCCAGGATTTTGGCACCATTGCCACGCCACTGACCCGCCTCTTGCACAAGGAGGCAGGACACTAGAGGCTGTCGAGGCATTCGTGGCACTCAAGTGTGCCCTCTCTTTGGGACCGGTGTTGCAAATGCCAGACTTTGAGCAATAGTTTGTCGTTGACTGTGATGCCTCGGGCACTGAGTTTGGCGTCGTGCTTCACCAGGGGGCCGACCCCCTGGCCTTCTTCAGCCGACCCTTCTCTGCCCGCCACCGTAAGCTGGAGGCATATGAGTGCGAGCTGATTAGTTTGGTTCAGGCTATGCGACACTGGCGACCATATCTCTAGGGGCGCCGCTTCCTTGTTCGCACCGAACACTATAGCCTAAACTTTCTCCTGGACCAGCAGCTGTCCACTGTGCCTAGCATCAGTGGATTAGCAAGCTATTTGGGTTTGACTTTGTGGTGGAGTACCATCCGGGGCGCTAAAACTCGGCGGCCGATGCCCTCTCCCACCGCGATGCCGACACAACCATCAAGTCTATAGAGCTGCCCCCGTCATTCCGCCTACTCGACGACATTTGCGCCGCCACCGCGACTGACCCGGAGGCCGGCCATCTCCTGCAGCAGCTGAGGGATGCCTCCCTTGAGGCACTCTAGAGCACCGACAATGGGTTCCTTCTTCATGGCAAGCGCCTATTTGTGCCTGCGTAGCAGAACCTATGCCAGCAGGTGGTCGCCTTAGCTCACACAGCCAGCCATGAGGGGATCCAAAAGACCCTCGTCTGCCTACGAGAAGACTTCTACATCCCCAGCGACCATGCGCTTATCTAGGACTTCGTCCACGCTTGCATCACATGCTAGCACAACAAGACGCCAACACTCCAGCCGATCGGTCTGTTGCAGCCTCGCAACGTGCCATCTTAGGTATGGGCGAACATCTGCATGGATTTCATCAACAACCTTCCTAAGGTCCATGGGAAGTCTTGCATCCTCACCATCATCGACCGCTTCTCTAAGTATGCGTACTTCATCGCCCTCAGCCATCCGTACTTAGCAGCATCGGTTGCCCACGCCTTCTTCGAGGGTATTGTTCGTCAACACGGCTTCCCCAACTCC